CTAGATCCCAATAGAATAAAAACAGTACAACTGTTAACCAATAGTGTTATAAATCTCAAATGAAAAAAAATGTTTCTTGGTTAGGATAAATTAGACAATAAGACTGAATCCTTCATACATGTCGCAATACTCTATAATTAGCAGAATTATAAGAAATTAGCATTTTGCAAGGAAAAATAATACTGTAATGATTAAAATGAATCACTAAAATAGCTGGCAAATGCAGATAGGATAGATCAGTTGATTAGATGTATTTTACTCAAACAATTAAGCAACATTAATATTTTCCCATACAAAATATCCTTAACAAATTCCAACACAAAACTGCAGCTTACAAATATATAACAGTTTCATAGAGAAAACTTAATACACAAATAATTATATACCTGTTCTGACTAATAATATCTTTCAGAATCTACAGTAATTCAGTCATTTCATTAGTCAGTGTCAAGTGGATAAACCGAAGTGTGGTGTACTAAGTGAGGGTTTGAACATCTAAATCAAAGATAAGAACGATTTCAATTAATTATTACCATAACTGAAAAACTGTTGTATGAATCTGGATGTGTTTTTTTTTACTCTCTAATATTCGGCACTTAATGTTTACTAACAATATTTTTTGCAGGTGTCAGATAGCAAAAAGGTGTTTTATTATGAAAGTTGTGAAGGGTTATCAGTAGGGGGTCCATCAAATTTGGCATTGGTACAGGAAATATGTAAACCTATCACTGTAAGCATTCTCGAAGGGTGAACTGCTTGGCAGGAGCTAATTAACCTAAGAAAATAATTACACAAATATGCAAATCTTGTTTAGATAATTTCATGTGTAATCACAAGAAGTAGTCAATCACACAAGCGGGCACCACATTTGCCCAGGTGTTAATCTGTGTGTACTTAAAAGGGATTTTATACCTGATTGTCAGCTATTTTTTACTGGTGATAAATAACTCTAAAAGTAAGACATTTTAAGATTAGATTACCTTCAGTAATTGCCATGGTATCTGACCTTTGGTAACAGTTGTACTATAGGAGAAATTGGGCCGATATCAAATCTATTCAGACAACTAGGGAGTGTTTTGGTAGCCCAATCTTGGCACTCACCCAGACACTGCCTTCTCAGAGGAGGCCAACTTTAACACCAATACATTTTTCTAGTAAATAGAGGAAATAATGTTCCCTGAAGTAGGAGAAGCTGGGACACAAGGCATGTCACCCTTGCCCCCTTTTGGGAATGAGTAGAGTATCTATAACTCATCAGTTTTTGACTTGTAGGCAGATTTATTATTTTTGTTGCATTACTTTTAATTACTTTCATGGTACTATAGCTGGCTTTAAGAGCTTTTAGTCTTTGTGGAGCCATATCTGTTGTTATGTTTATATTGTTGAGCTATTATGTTGATCCTGGAAATGTCATTATTGATACAGGTAACTTTGCCTCTATTCCCTTGTAGAGATGGGTGAGAAGTAACTACAGTATTTCTGCATCCCTAAATTCTAGCTTTCCAGTACTGGATCAATCTTAGTGGACCAATAATTTCCTTCAACCTTTTGTTTTTTTTTGCATATTTGAAAAATGCTTATTGCTTTTGGCAGTTTTATATTTACTGCTTTTCCTGATTACTCACCAAGATTTGATTATCAATATTCTAAGGGTTATCTCTACCCTACTGTCCAATTTTTAGTTTAAATTTTATCTATAATGTAAATGTGGGGTGAACTTAGGTTTAAATTTACACTGATAATTTTTTCTTTTAGGATTCACCCAGTAAAGTGTGCAATAATACTGACGTTAAATCAGTGTAAATACTGATATCTAAAACAAAGGAAATGAAATAGCATAAATAATACATCACATTTAAAATATGGATGACCAGTTGTTTTTTTTGGCCGCACATGTGAAACCCATCACAAGCTTAAGAGTCCCAAACCAAAGTATTGAGAGTTTCAGATATTATGGTTTAAATTTTCTGGGATCATATTTTGAAACCATAGAAATTGAACAATAGAAATTTACAGCACACAAGAAGGTCTTTCTGCCCATCGTGTCAGTCGGCCTTTACCTTATCCCACAGAATATAGGTACAAGTTGGCAAGAGCTAAGGCTTAGAAACCCCACTGTGTGCATTGTGGAGTTCCCAAGCTAAATTCATCCACTCAGTGCACTGGCAAGCCACCTGCTGCTGGCCCAACTGGGACCATTGTACACATTAAGGGCTTTGTTTCATGGGGTATCTATCTGCAGCCAAGTGAGAAGAATCTCAGCTGCCAATGATTGATCGCTCCTCCATGTTCCACTGACAAGCTGGACTCCCTGTTCTGTTATCAACACTGGCCTGGAGTACTTCTCAGGTATTGGACTACTATAACAGAAGATTGACTGAATTATGATCCTCTATTGTCAATGCCAAAGAAACCCTGCTTACTTTCCTTTGTGAGGATTTTAGTCAACTGTGGGTCATTTTGCCTGACAAGTGCAGGTTAGAGCCCTCGCCTAGGGAGATACCATGACATGTGTGAGTGCTTTGCCAGAGTCGTCCTGACCAGAGACACATCTCTCAAATTGGGTGGTGGTTCCATCAGTTGGAGGTATGAAGGTTTAACAGTATCTGCTTGCTTCTCAACATACAACAACAACAAATTACATTTGTATAGCGCCTTTCACATCGGGAGGACGTCCCAACGTGCTGGACAGTCAAGAGTTTCAGACCTGAGCTGGGGGTCCGGATTAGGGAGGGTGGAGGGCGGGGGGGAAGCAGGGTGATCAAAAAGCACAGTCGAAGAGGAGGGTCTTAACATGGCAACAACAACAACAACAGATTCCATTTGTATAGTGCCTTTCATGTCAGGAGGATGTCCCAAGGTGTTGGACAGTCAGGAATCTGCACCTGAGCTGGTGGTTAGGATCATGAGAGGTGGAGGGCACGGAGTGTAGGGGTAGGAGGGTGACCAAAGAGGAGGGTCTTGAGACAGGTCTTGAAGGAGGCAAGGGAGGAAGCGAGGTGGAGGGACTGTGGGATGGAGTTCCAGTGGGTGGAGGCACAGAGGCTGAAGAGCCGCTCGCCAATGGTGGCTCGGGCAAGGCGGAGGACGTGAAGCAGGCCGGAGCCCTTTGAGTGCAGCTTAGTAGGGGATTAGGAGGTAGGGAGGGGGCTTTGAAGGTGAAGATAGACACCAAACCCTGTATCTGCCCTCTTCCCCTCTCCCCATATTAAGAAACAGACTTATCCAACACTAGATCCGTCAGGTGGACTTGACATAGATAATAGTCTTGCTTAAATATATGAAGAACAGGAAGAATGTGTATCCAATTAGCATAGGAATGCAAACAGGGAACATTCCAGCTATGTAATTTGGAACAAGGAAAAAAACATGCACACAACTAAGTTTCTCATAAATATAACTTTGTACAAATAGACTTGTCATACAAGTAGACTTAGGTGTGATTTAAAATCAAACAAAGTCATGGCATTATTCTTGCACTTAATCATTATTTAACTGTTAAAATTATTGGATAACAAGATTTTAATTCTTCATTTCTAAATTTTAAAAACAGTAAAAAGCCTCTTTACACATTCCACTATTACCTTGCCTACTCTGGACTGGATTGGATGTCACATTTGAGCCATATGTAAGAAAAGGGGAGGACGTGTAGTTCCACATGAAAAAGTCTTAAAGCGGAAGGCGTACCGAGGGATTTCCCCTGTCGTTATGCTGACTTTTTTTCTCTGAAGGATAGCTTAATTTAATGTGAGGAGTTAATCTACTTTTCTTAACCCTTATGAGAGCTGCACTCGTTGCATGCACTATATAGAGTTCTTGTTTATGTTTCTATTCATTGAGTAGAATGAGGTTCAAATAAGAATTAAATGCTTCTGAATTCTGGGACCTATTAAAATAAATTGAAGGCAAAAATATTTTAAACTTTAAAAATAGTTTATTTTAGAACTGCTTAATCGCCCACAGGAGATGGCTAGTTAAATATACTATTGGGCCAGAAATCTCACCTACTCTTAACCTTTGATGCCATTCTGCCTTAAAATGTAAAACTGCTCAGAATTTGGGAGACACTCTTAATTTGGAAGGACGTTCCACAATGTTGGACAATCTTAAACTTTAAGACAAAATAGTTTTATATGCAAAGACTAGCTAATATTTTTGGCTTTGGATTGAAACTCAAGTCATAGAGACCGGGGAAGGTTTATCTGCTGAGTTAGTCAGTATCAAGTTGGATAGCAATGAAGAGTTGTGATGAGTCAGATAGATTCCAATTTCTAAATGTTCAGAGAAGTGTTTTTCCAATGCACAATATTCCCAATTTTTGAGAGTGACGATTCATGTAAGAGCAGTGTCTATCTGACCATTTCTAGATTTTTCAACTTTGCGATCTTTCAACATGATACACAGCAAGAATTGTTAGGTTCACGAATTTTAGAAATTAAAGATTCCACTTATGGGAATTATTGTGTTTCTCATTCTCGGCATCCGTCACACACTGTAGAAGGAGGTCTGTATCACTACTGTGCCAGAAAATTCCACCAAATGGACAACTTTGCTTTACATTGCGTTATACTTATTTTAGAGGAAAAATATTCTGTAACATTGCCCAACTCCCATTCTTGTACCCAAGGAAACGCTTCATGAGTTTTTTTTCACAAATTCCAGCTCAGCTCCAAGTTGGCCCTGCTCACCTCCTCCCCAAGGAGGATAGTCCAGAGATGAGAGTTACCAATTGAACCAAGCTGATATCTATACATAATTGGTACCTGGGGTGGTTTCCTCTCTGACCAAGTTTAATCATCTTTTCTGCCTAATGAAGCAAAGTACTATTATAAAACTGCTGATTTATTGACTGTTGAAGTGGTTTAGATATGCTTTTCATGCTTTAAATTAAACACTTCCTCAAATATGCTGTACTGTCCATCCATCTACTCACCAGAAAGTATTGGAACTCTCTAAGTTGTATTTATATTAATTTATCTTTGTTTTTTCTTAACTTACAGAATAATAGCACTCCAGAAGAGCACACACTGTATGTCTGGGATCACTTTATTTCCAAATCTTCTGTCAAGAATGTAGTATTTGTTGCCCACAGTTATGGTGGACTGGTATTTGTGGAGTTGGTAAGTATTTCTTTGTTTTCATTGTCTGTTACAACTCAAATTGTTCTATTTTCTTTACCACGTGGGTGCACATCAAACATATACCTCTCTATTCAGAGAATTCCAGAACTTTACCACTCATCCAAGGAAGGAAAATCTTTTTTTTAATCAGGGCAAAATATCAGGTGACTGCACTGACTAATTAATATATTTTACTTTGTTAGTAGTATGAAGCTTAATGGTAAAATTGGTCGATAGCAATTAAGTGAAAATGGTGTAAGTCTGTTTTTCTTGCTTTGAATCTGACTGGGATGAATATAAAGTCATCAAATATCATATTGTAACGATATTTTATGAATCTGAAATTCAAATTTGGGTACATCATCTGAAAAAGCTTTGTTGTTTTTTGATTAGAATGAATATCTTTCTTTTTGATTAATTACTGACAGTAATGCAAACTTAATTTATATTTTGGGATAGCAGCTGGGATTTCTATCATAGACGATGAAGCATTACTGTAAATGGTGACATCAAGTTTTAAAAAGACAGCAGTTCTTTCTATCTCCATAAAAAATGGAGAAGATCTTTATCCTTTACATTCTTAAAATGCTCTTGCATTATTCCCTTAACGGACATAGATTTGAAAGTGATTTATTTTTGCTTTCATGCTTTTTGTTATTAAAATCTAGTCAGACACATTTTTAAACTAAACTGATTTAGTTCAGACCGAGTTTAACCCTTTGGTTAAATTAAATGTGCTATGAAAACTGTTTTAAATGTAGCTAATGTTGAGTTAATAAATGTGAATTTATATGAAGTAAAATAAATTAAAGCTTACTGTACAGTAATGCTGTTTTTGGGTTTGATAGAAATTAATATAAACAATAGAGAATTACATACTGGTCCATCACAACATTGTGTAGTGGATGTGCAGCTTACTAAGAAAAGAATATCAAGGAGAAAACGTGTTAGCTTGTTTTATTTATTCTTTGCGCACCAAAAGCTGGTAAAGTGGTGCATAACTAATATGGATTTATTTGGATTTAATCCAAACACTTGGATTTATAATTGTTCTTGCTTCCCAAAAAAATTAGAAGAGGAATGTGCAATGTCTTGTGTTTGTAATAAGAAATATTATTAATTTTTGAACAGAAAAGTAAGGTGTTTCAGCAGAAAAGTTGATATGTATGATTCAGATTTAGTGATGCATTTTGTGAATTTTTCATGGAGTGTAATTGTGTCACCAACTGCAGTTTTGAAATAGACTATGAGCTGATTGACCTTTAGACGGTGAAGTAGTGGTGCATTCTATGGATATGGTAAATGATGTTTGCCCTCAGACCAAACAATTACAAGTCTTCCCACCTAAAGACATAAATGAAGGGTCGTGGATGACCACTGTGACATTCCTTCTGTCTATGTCTCTCATCACACTGGTGGATATTTTTTCCTCCTTTGTTCTGTGTTACTATAATGCATCCAGATGTCTCAGGGTAAGACTTGACATCTGACCTTGGGGCTTTAGGGTGAAGGTGCCCCCTGAGCCTGTGAATTTATCCCAGGCTGGGCTAAAGTCTTCCACAAGGCATTTTGGTCTTGGTGCAGGAAGTAACCAGTAAGTAAGAAATTACAAGGGTGCTTTGTCAGGAAAAGAAGATAGTAGGAGGAGCAAGTTCTGAAGACTGCTTACACTGCAGGAGCTGAATGCATGAACGGCATGACATAATACATCCATGGGCACATCTAATATCTGTCACAAAGAAACCAGAACTTTTAAAAAAAAAACTGACATTGATGTATCATTATGACTTTGCAATAACGGGTGTGACAATTAATCATTTTGGAACAGAGTATCTGTTTCCCTTCAGTATACATCGTGTGACTCCAAAGAGCTTTGGAATTGTTTAATATACTTTTTTTGTTGTGTATGTATCACAGTTTATCTATAGGCTTCTATGTTTTCTGAAGCAAACATATTTGCTTTTTTGTATGCTGAGCATACAAATATTAATTTCTATTAATATTTTTAAGGTTTAAATTTAGATTTTGTTTAGAATGAACATTCTTTACAGTTTGGGATTTGTTTTGTAACTCCCATCAAAAAGGTACCATCTACTATATGTTATACAAATTATCTTAATGGGAGGTTGTCTTTGTATCTATTTTATCTGTAGGTCCCTTCCCTATTTTGTAAAAATGCAGTTGCGAGATTTTATAGAATGGAACACACCATTCTCATAGTTATATTAGGGAAAGCAGGGTTAAGGCTATTGTGCCATCAGTCTGAATAATTAATGGTGGATTTTCTTTCCAAGGCTACTTTTGAGGAAAAAGCATAAACCAGCACTGCTATACATTTTTTATGAGAAACAACAACAACAACAAAATTCCATTTATAGAGCGCTTTTCACATCGGGAGGACGTCCCAAGGCGCTGGACAGTTGGGTCAGGACCCGAGCAGGGGGAAATGGTCAGGGTGAGGGGAGGGAAGGGAGGGAGCGAGGAGGGGGTAGAGAGTCGAGAAACATCCTTTTGCTAAACACAATAATTTGTGAGCTGCTTGTGTGCTTTATGTCTTGCAAAATGGCAAAATCCTTGCACAGCATAATTATAATAATAATAATAATAATAATCCTTGCATTTGATATAGCGCTTTTCACGTCGGGAGGACGTCCCAAAGCGCTTCACAGAACACACTGTAAAGTGAATTGACTGTATATTTGTGGGCGAACGCGGCAGCCAATTGCGCACAGCAATGTCCCACAAACAGTCGTAGATTGAAAATGACCAATTTAATTATTGTTTTTGGTTTTTTGGAGGGATTATTATAAGGCGTGTGGAGTAAGGAAACTTGCCCAAGGTTTCGCCCTGTTAGTCATGGTAGCACACTGTTCAGGGGTATAGTGTGTTGAACATCAAATCTGTGTTCAAGAAGATTATTAAAATTTTGATATTTTATTGATATTACAGCAGGAAATCTATGTACTGTAGTTTTAAAAACATCAAGTCTCCATATTAATTATGCAAAGTTACACTGCAATAAAGATAGATTTTGTAATAAAGAAAAATAGAAACACTATACTGTAGTTCTTCATATTGCTCCCAATGTGTTTGAAAAGAGAAGGGTATTTCTCCTGATCTCTTGGCCAACAGTCCATTACATTTTTAAAAAATGATCATTGACTTCATGTGTGTTTGTGGGACATTACTGTAGCGTTTGCCTACAAATACACAGTTACCAAACTTTACAGAAACCTCTGTGAAGTGCTTCGAGAAGTTTTGATGTCAGAAAGCACAAATTCAGATGTAAGAGTTAAAAAGAGTTTCTGTTTTTGTTACCCATATACATAGAAAATTATGGAATAGTTATAGTATGCATTCCAACCAGCCCAGGTCTGTTGTTGAATAGTTGCTTGAAGTTGATTAAGCTATCATACAGACTTGTCAACATCACAACTCCTTAGCATTTGGCTTTGCTTTGCTACTTCAGTTGAAAACGAAAGTCTGGGATGTGTTGAAGAAATCATTCCTGAATCTGTGATGCCTTTCTCCCTAAGAATAAAGAGAAGATAGAATTATGGCCCGATTCACGTAGTTATTTTGAAATAAAATGATGATGCAACAGATGTCATATTTTTGATACCAGCCAGGGAAATTATTTAGATCTTGAATCCATGCATGATAACAAATGTAATAATTCCTGTAATAAATAAGTTAGATTATAAATCAGTGAGTTTTATTCCGTGATTTAATCAGACTGCAGTAATTCAAATGAATTCTAGGTACCTAAACATTTGAGATGACATTAAGGAAAATGAGTGTTACGTTTTCTAAAAGTGTAATATATTTTGATATATCCCAACTGCACACCATATATGCAAACTGCACACCATAAAAAAAACTCCCAGAATGTAATAGTAATATAGTAAAGCAAATAAAAAAATCTTGAACTAAATAAAATGTTGATATTTCTTGCTGCCTCTTGTGCCTAATGCTTAGTCAAATAAATGGCTAAGCATAGCAAAACAATGGCAAAAAAAAGAGGCAACAGACACAATGTGTGTCAGAGAGTTACTCACTAGTTTAGCTCAGTTGGGTGTCAATTTGGCTCATTTGGTAGCAGTCTTGCAACAACAACAACAAAATCACATTTGTATTGCGCCTTTAACATCAGGAGGACGTCCCATCAAATGCAAAGAATTTTTTTTATCAATCCAGGAAAGATGTTCCTACTTAAATATTGCACTTTTTTCATAATATCCACTTGAGCTAATGGAGGAACTGCAACCAATTGCCAAAGCAGAAATCTTGCAAAACGTAATAACAAGTAGTATATATTTATATTATAACTGGTATGGATTGGAGGGACGTCACACCATCTGAAATATGAAAACAGAACCTGAAGGTCTCTTTCTAAAATTAAGATGTTAGACCCAGCTGAACTCCTCATAGATGCTTAGAAGTCCCTAAACTATTTTATTAGCGACAACTGAAATTATAATTAGCAGGACTAAAGTGGAAGTTTAGTGCCTTACCTCCTTGCGTTTTTAATTGATTTACAAAAATCTCTCCCTCTCTAATTAGTCAACAATTCCTGTTGGTCACAGTGGAGCACTGTCTCCTAATAGATGTGATTCCTTTGTTGCATTTTAGAATGTCAAGACCAATAGGAATTAATCTGTGTTGACTAAATTGAAATAGTATACTGTGTAAAAGACCTATGCCTGTGGTGGTCAGTTACAGGTCCATTTTGCAAATTAATCATTATCCTTCAAATTCCTTGGGTAAAACAACCCTGTGGAGAAATCTCAAAGGATATCTTTCCTTTCGCTTGATTTTGTCCATGCTCAGTGTAACTTTTCTCTTCCCATTTCCTGCACAGCAACTTTACATAATCTATTTCCCATTATAGGTATCAATTGGGCTGTGTTGCTGTAAGTAAAAGAAAGGTTTTCTTGGAACACAATTACATTAATTTTCTGACTGCGATCTTAAGATTTATTTCAATAAATGAATGATGA